ACTTGTTTCTCGAATACCGTGGATAAAATTAAACTCTATTAAATTGTTAATTTTTTTTTTCTCATATTAAAAAATTAACACAGTGCTCTCGCGCCTCTCGAAAACATTATCCATATAATTGCATAATAAAATGATACTTCATAAAACCGGCTGCATTCCAAATAATTTACACGCAGTTTAAGAAATCTAATTTACCTCGAGAGACTCCGACACAAATCAAAAAAAAAAAAAAAAAATTTCAACTTTCACTATTACACTTCTCTCTAAAAACGAAATTTAACAAAAATTCAACAATTTGAAACAACGAATAAAAATTTTAGTCACGGCATTACTATTTGATCACCGCAACAGAAGGTATTTCGCATCGACGTGAAAAATTTACGCGGAGGGATCGCACGTTTTTAAAAAAAAAAAAAAAAAAAAAACGGACAATCCTTTTCCTTTTTTTTTTTTCCTCCCTCCCCCCTTTCTTTCTATATCCACCGCACGACTCCAACGTTTCGTCGACGGCCGCTACGTTTCCTGCCGGCCAAGAGAAATTTACGATGAAACGGAACCGGGTGGGTGCACGTATCCTCGCGAAAACACACCACGTAACGCCACTTTCCCGTTTGTATGTACTGCGTCGCCCGTTGTTTCCGTAATATGTTTGCACGGCCTCTGTTCCTCGTGTAATTTTAAAGGAAACGGGCTGTTCCGTGTCGCTTCAGAGGAAACGAGACGGTGATGCTCTCGCTGCTTCTCGCTCCCCTTTCCCGAGGATCGAGATCGAAATGGTGCACGTGCAGTGAGGATACGAGGTGAAATATCGTATGGGATGGAAATTAGAATTTCGAACGAAATATTTTTATTTTAATCATTGATGGTGGTATCTTTGAATACGATCGAGAAAGTAATCGAGTCTGTTCGAGAAGAGAAATTTTTATATTTCTTTTTTCTCTCTCTTTGTCTTTCTCTGGTTGGTTGCCAGTAGAGAAATTTAACGTAGTCAAGTAAATATTGTAGTAATTCGAATATGCAGGTGCAGGAATAATATATAGAATAGAATTGAAATTATGAGAGGAAACAGAACGTATTGTCTTGTTCGAGTTAAAATATTCGATGTGTTTAATTAATTAATTAATTAGTGATGTTCAATTTTGTGTAATTTTCTCATTTCGATTTCGAAGAAATTGACGATTTATTTGAAAATTTATTGGATAAAGAAAAAAAAAAGGATGTTACCAAGTAATAATTTTTTTTAAAAGAAAAGTGCCTCGTTATTCACAAAGCTTTCCATAAATACGGTCGTTTTATTATTATTATATAGAAAATAATAGATTGGGAAGGTTGGAAAGGAATCTCATAGAGAAGCATGCATTTCGTTGATTATAGAAGAGCCGAAAAATATTCTTCTCGATTGAAAATATTCTTCTCAATAGGGCCGAAGTATTATTCTTATTTCGACTACGAATGTTCCCGCTTCCTTTTTCGAATCGAGCTTGCTTTAAAGAGAAACGTTGCTTTCTTAGAAGCGATGAAACGAAACCGAGCGCGGGAATCGTGCTCGGAAGCAAACTGTGCCAAGAGTATCGGTCTCGATCCGGCTACGAGAGAGTTTAACATTGAATACTTACGACCCTACTGAGAATACAAAATAGGAACGAAGACACTTGGAATTTGTATTCCAAAGATTTGCATTTAGTCGAGTATGATAAAAGAAGAAAAAAAAGGAAATATAATCAAACTGTATTACCTTTTCAAATTATGTTCATCAGAGACTCTCTCCTACGTATCTTATCTTATAGTGGATTGTTCGACAAGGATAGAATTAAATGGTATAATTTTCTCCAATCTAATTTATATATATATCTCAGAAATTTTATATTTGCCTTTTATAATTTGAACAATACTTTTTGTAATCTCTTTTAAATGAAATTTGAATAAAATTTGGATGGGATTTGAAATTAAACTTCGAATAAAAACCTTTCCTTTATTAATTATTAATTATTAATTTTTAATTATACCTAGTATCACGAGGAAAAATTCGTTTAGAGAACCAAATAAGAGAACTAAAAATTATACACTGTTGAAAGGAAATTTTTATTTCTTTCGTGGCGAAGAATTAAATTTCACGAAAACAATATAACCTTGAAATTTTATTTTATCAAAAAGAAAATAGGATAGATGAAATGAAACGTCACGATAAGGAAAATTTTGATTAGATCCGCTAATAGCTAAAGATAATTGAGGGGTGGGTGTTACGTGATCCATCCAGTACGTCAAAGATGATGACCTTCGGTGTCTATTAGTCGCGTGCGAGCCACGTAACAGGTAAAACACGACATAACAGTTGTTTATCGAGCAGGAGAGGAATTGAGATTTAAATTAGACGAAGATATGCAGATGATACTTTGCGCGACTCTGGTTTGGATAGCGTGTCGGTTCGTAGGTCATCCGTGGTTGAAACTTAACCCCCTCCCCCTTCTCCTCCCCCCCTCCATTTTAGACACAGGTTAAGGACGAATAATTCGCCACCTTCCGTTTCGTTCCCTCTAAAGGTACAGCCATCTTGCACGCGATTCCACGATTCATTCTTCCCGAGAGACAGTTAGCTCAATCAAAATGGTTATGTCAATGAAAATGGTCATCTTGTGTTCGAAATCGCGACTTGTTAAGTAACATCGCATTGAATTATCGTTCTTTAATAAGCTTATCGATAAGTATTCTCCCTCTCGTGTGATTTCAATTTTAGAAGAAGACAGAAGAATTTGGAATATTTTGGAATAGCCTTTGGAATAGACTTTGGTTTGTTCTGTGATGATTTGCTTTTTTGAAAAATTGAAAATCATTTTCCGGAAAAAATGGATAAATATTCGTGTGTACAGAAATGATAATAATTTGTACTTTATTAATTTAGGATTAGGGGGATTTTTTTTCGTAGAAAGAAAAAAAAAAATTCGCTCGTGTCAAATTGTCAAATTTCGATCCTTTTTCCGCGCAAAATATTCTTCCCCCCCACGCGCGAATTAAAATCGGAAACAATTCTCCGCGCCAATTTTTGCGCCATTCGAATCCATATCGGGATTTTTGATGGATTTTTACTCGGGTCGGATGAAAAATCCGCGAATAAACGTTACCCTCCCTCCCCCATGTAAGCAATGCGAAGGGAGGCCATTCATTTTTATTTGAAATTCCATTATCGGCCTGTTGAAGGCCCGATGCAATCCGAATTACAAATGCCGATCGAAATTGGTTACGGTGTTTCGCGTAATTTATCCCTTCTGTTCCAAAGCAACGATAAATCCATGCTCGTTCCCATTTTCAAAAAAGAGAAAAAAAGACTAATACGTGTACACAGTGATACAAATTTTGTGTATATCCTTTGTGTATATCATTTCGTTTCGTAATTGATAAATTTGAAGAAAGAAATAGCAGTTGTTACGTTAGAAAAATATGAAACGAATTTTTTTGTACTTTTAAATTAGTTAATAATAAAAAATTAGTTAATAATAATAAAAAATTAGTTAATAATAAAATAATAAAAAAAAGAAAAAATTGGCAATTGGTATCGTTCTTTAAAATTTTAAAGAACGTTTAAAGAAATTTATATGAATTTGACACGAGTGAGGTTTTCAGTTATATACGTTTACATTTGGATAATATACCTTTCATCTGGAAAAAGACGACAATTAATTCGATTATTGTATTATTCGTATTATACGTGATATTTGTTGGACCGAATTGTTTCAAATTATTATATTATCAGGAATTGATGTTTCCAATTTTGATGGTGAAATTAATTGGATCTCTGTACTTGATCTCTCTACCGATTTTTTCATTCGTATATAATATTGGAATTAGATTGGAAATTTAGGTCGATTAATAAATTCGCCGAGCGCATACGTTTAATTAAATTAGCTATACCGATACCTATCGTCGATTATTAATTTTCTAAATAATCCTGCACGATCTTGGGGCAAAGTAATAAGCCTTATCATCAAATTTAATGTTATCGCAACATATTATTTGGAATTACGAAAAAAAAATAAAAATTTGTATAAAGTAAACATCTCAAATTAATCAAATTTGATAAAATCTTTCGAAAGTGATGTTTCTTTTCTTGGAAGAGGAAGAAGAAGGGGAAGAAAATAACAACAAATTCTTCGATAAAGAAGACGAATGCGTCGACCAGCAGAGCAATCCATCGAAATACTTCGCGCTGATATCGACACTCGGATAATTTATAGCGTGGGACGATCCTTCTCCCCCTCGAACGATTCCCGAAGAAGGATTTACTTTCGTGAGAAAACGCACTTGGTCGCCGCTTACCGGCATCCTTTCCCAGTTTCGTTGAAATAGGGGGCAATCGATCAGAATCTCAACAGGAACGAACGTTCCTCTTTGTATCTTGTCCCGTTTTCCCGACGCGAGATCCAGCAGAGATTTTGCGCGAGAAGATTTCTCCGAACAAATTCAATCTCTCCGATATCTGACTCGCCAAACTTACGTGCCACTGAATTTCAACGTTTCATTTCACCCCAATTCCATTTCTGATTCAATCGCGATCTCTTATTACCGATCTAAAAAAAGGGAACTAATAATTGCTATAATTAAGATATAACGTGTAATGATAGTTGTTCCATTCAAATAATAGTGAGAATTATAGAAATATTACAATATGTTCACTTCAGCTTCACTTTGATAGAAATTTTCAAAAAATTGTCACTTAATTAATATTGTGATCTGCGAACACTTTTTAAAAATCAATCCTCTCTTGCTTCACAATTCGTTCCAATCCTGTTACATGTTATTGCAATAGAGATTATCAATACTCACATCGCGTGTAACGACACGATTACATCGAAAAAATATTCTAAAAGGGATGTTTCTCCAAATTCTCCATAAAATCGGGAACGAAGAGGATATATATCCCCTCCATCTGGAACGTTAGAAACATCCCGAGGCTGCGATACATGGCTGCCAAAACTTGACCCTCGTGTGTTTGCTTTTTGTTTCAGTATGCGTACAATGGCCAGAGGGTAGGTGCTTCCACGACGTGCCGGAATCGGCACTGCTGAATCTCTACTTCGAGATCCGTGAGAATTGCCACGGGTTCTCCTGAAGGCGATGCCAAGAAAAAGGCGGCGACAGTGATGACGGCCGAGAGAATGAGAGAGGCGATCAACGAAACTCATCGGCCGAGCCGACAACCGTGTGCTCGGAGTAATCGCGACAGACAGTGAAAAACCAAAAAAAGAAAAGAAAAGAAAAGAAAAGTTTCACATTTTCGTTTGTTTCTTCCCAACAGCCGCCAACACACCACGACCAAGCCAACATAAAAAAAAAAAAACCGAAAGAAAAGACAGCCACTAGGGAGAGACTCGGGGTCCCTCCCGAGGGAGGGACAGTATCTGTATCTCCACGATTCACGATTGCTCTTATACTGCTGCTACTACTTTTTTTTTTTCCTCTTATTTTCTTTTTTTTTTTTTTTTCGATCGCTATTTTTCTCCCATCAACTTCGCTGACTCGTAGCCAGCGAGCGTTGTCTCTTAGAGAAAATGGTACTTTGCGTGTCGTAGAGTCGAGTCTGTAGAATGGAAGAGAGATGGAGAAAATTTCACGAGTTGAGGAGAAATTTCTTTTAGAAATTTATAATATCGCTCGACTCGACTCGACTCGAAGACACGATTTTCCACACACTTGTGAAAAATGTTAAACTTGCTTTTGTCCGTGTCGTTTTCACGGGTTACCACAGGTCTAGCACTGACCCTTAGATGGTCCTCGCGAAAAAGGCTCCGTTCTTGACCTCCCCTCCCCCACGCTCTGCCCGACCCTCTTTTTTTTTTTTTTTTAGGGTTCTCGATGATTCCAGCAGAACCAAGGTGGGTGTACAGACTTTATTTACCTACAACTAATTGCTCGTCGTTCAACCAGCTCGCGAACTACTGTCTTATTCTACTTGTTGAAGTATTTATTCTCATATATATATTGTATTTTTTCTTCTTCTTTTTTTTTCTTTTTTTTTCTTTTTTTTTTTTTTTTTTTTTCTCTCAAACTCTTCTACTCACTCGTCTTCCCTTGACCCCTTGTGTACGAGGGAGAGCTCGTGCTCACACACCAGACCCTGATCCCACGTCTTTCTCTCTTACACATACACGTACATATGTATATGTATACACACAAGCAAGCACGAAAGTGTTTGCTACATCGTGAAAAGGAGCAATTCGTGGTTTCTCGCCGAGATAGAGGCGGAAAAAAGAAGCGGAAATCGTTGAAAAAAAGAAAGAAATTCTGTTCTCTCGGTGAACATGATCGTCTGAAATTTAAACTGCTCTGTCAGAGATATTTTTTTTTTTTTTTGAATGTTTTTTCGAAAATTTTCTACGTTGATATTGCTTATTAGCTTGATGCATATGAAATTAATTAGTTAGAATTAATCTTTTATGTATTATCAAAAGATATATTACGTTATCGTTTAAATAAATATTTCGAAAAGAGTTTATATTAAAGAACGACGTTCTAAGATCAAAGAAACTAATAAACTAATGAACTTTAAATATCCATATAGAGGATATAAATTTAAGAAAAATTATTCCAAAGTCTGTTTATATATTCTGATATAACTCAGCGAATTTAAAAAAGAAAAAAAACAAAACAAAATTTCATATGCATCAATCGAAATCAATGTATTCAGTACGAGATAAGATATATTAAAAATCGTGAATTAAAATAATAGAAAGAGAAAAAAAAAGGCCACGTGGGTAGCGTCTATCGGTCAGTGGTAGGTCGACCCGAGACAGAGCGAGCCTCTGCCCTTCCATAATCATTCCTCGTTCGCTGAAGAACGATTTTCCATCGCGTAAGAAACTTCAGCGGGAACGAGATACAAGTTAAATGGTTTTAAACCATTTAAACCAACGATCGGTAAAGAAGGCATCGAACGATCGATGTTGGAACGATCGAGGTTGAGAAACGACGTCCTTGACGTCACATTTTTGCTCTCGCTGACGTTTCCACGCGATCGCCTTCGCGGATTCGATTAGAATTGTAAGGTTAGCTTTAGTCACGGAACTTACAGGGTATTGGAAAGTATTTTTACGACATTCCACGTTTCTCGTTTTAGCATTAACGTTTGTACTTTGGACGTATTTGTATTATTATGTATTACGTTTTTAAATGGTTTTACTCAGAAATGATTCGATGCAGGGTATTATTTCTAGTGATCGTAAGAGAGTTACCTTTTATAGTGTACATGGACATTCCACACGTGTCTTTTTTTTAAAAGAGAAATCACTTGTTTTAATAATAATAAATGTTACACCCGTTCCTTGAATCGGGTGTGATTATGCCAACGTGCCGAGGTATGTACGCCGAGAAAGTTTGTATCGAGTTTAAGGGAAAAAGAATTCGTCGGCGATCTGGATGGCCTTAATGAGTTCCTAAGTGTTTTAACGAAGTATCGATTAATCTTTCTACGTTGTTATACGTTATAACAAGAGAAGATTATAATGACAGTGTGCCAACGATAAAGGGAAAAAAGAGCCAGAAGTTTTTTAATTTAAGCAAGATATAAGTTAAACTTTAAATATATATATATATACATGAATATAAATATTAAATCTTTTTTAAAGATAACATCATACATTCATTTTTATTCAACTCGAGACAATTTTGAAAAGAATTCAGGAATTATAATCAAAAATTAATAACTGTTCAAAAATAAAGATATTTAAATAAATATTACAGAATTTTCTCAGAAATAAATAATAGTATTCTTAAAATTTGATCAATAGAATTAAAACTTAGTAGGAACAAGAATGTTTATTAAACCATTCGTAGAAACGAAGCAACGCAATCATCAATTGCGGATAAATTCTCAAGTGTATAATCCACCAGATGAATCGACCAATTCTCTTTCATCATTCTGTGCACGTTGGCCCGCGTTCGTGACTCCTAGATGTCGTTCCCTATAAGGAATCGAGTATTATTACTGTCGAGATGACAGATTTTTCAAACAGCTTGAATCGAACGAGAGCGTAACACGTAAGAATGGAATTGCGAAGTGGTGCATCGTTTCCTCTTTTGACACTGTATTCTCCTGTATTCTCCCCCCGTTTTTTCTCTGTCGAGAAGCGTGCACCGTTTCGCGTTTCCGAATTCGTTGTCGATTCGCAGTTAAAAATGTTAAAATGGGGGAAGAATCGATGAAGCTCGAAAACGAAAGCTAGAAAGAGGGAAGAAGATGGCTGGAAATGGGTGGAAAGATGAGAAGTGACAATAGAGAGAGCACGCAACGGAGAGAGAGAGGGAGAGAGAGAGGAAGATGGATGAAGAGAGAAGCGACACAATAAGAAAAAATGTTGTAAAAGGGAATTAAACGAATCGGTCGAGTTCTTGACTTAAGAAGTAATTGGTAGCCTTGGCAAAGAGTGGAAATTTGAACTCGATGCGTGCGAGTTTCGAGTGTTTCGAAAGAAGATGGAATTAGATGGATAGTTTTGCGAGAAATTATTATTACTTGACGATAAGAAGATTTCAGAAAGAATAAAAATTGAATAAAAATTATTTGGGATATCTTCGAGTTTTTCGAAAGTTTATAAAATTCGAAATTTCAACGCAATCACAAGTTATTAATAATTAATAAATTCTTTGCAAAAGCAAGGAATCTTTATCCGTGGATGATTTTTTTATCGTCAAGAAATTCGAGAAAACGGTATTCGCGGGATATTTGAAGAAAAGAACATGTTCATTTCGAAAGAATGCCAAGACGATTTAATATGTTTTCCAGCCAGGCAATAAAGAAGAACTTTTTCTACTTTATCAAAAGAACACGAAGAATTCTCACTGTCCATTTTTCGAGATTCGATTACGTGGCATGCATCGCTCGTTCCTTCTCCTAAACTTTTTATCTTTCTTCTTTTATCCCTCTTTCGTTTCTCTTGATCCAATCTCGTCATTGGAACTTTATACTCTTTGTCCTTTCGTTTCATTTACCTTTCTTAAGCAGAACACACCTCCGATTGAATAATTTTTATTTTTCCCTAATTTCTTCTATTCGTTATTCAAATCAAACCTTATTAAAATAGGAAAGAAAGATCGTGATTTCTCAATCACGAACGCGGAAAAATTATATTTACTCTGTTTCCTTCCTTGTTTAAAGTTCCTTAAAATTCTTTTTTATTATTGTTATTATTATTATTATTATTATTATTATTATTATTTTTATTTTTATTATTATTGTTATTATTATTATTATTATTATTACTATTTTTATTATTACTATTATTATTATTACTATTATTATTATTACTATTATTATTATTATTATTATTATTACTATTATTATTATTATTACTATTATTATTATTATTATTATTATTATTATTATTACTATTATTATTATTATTATTATTATTTTCTGAAGGAAATCAACCGAAAATCGATTAAATTTCGAATCGAGCATATATAGTATATATATACGTATATCTATTCTCCGTTGTAGAAATTAATTTGATCAGGTCACGTGAAAGAGCATAGATCTCGAAGGAATGCATGCAGTAGGCTTTTTTTGGTCTTGATTTAGTGGCGTTTAGCTTTCAGTGAATAACACTGCGACAAAAAGAAACCCGAAACTCGATTGTAACCCGGTAGATATTGGGACCTTGTCGAGCGATAAATCGTCGACGAAAGTTTCCAATTCCTTAAAAAAAAAAAAAAAAAAAAAAAAAGTATTAAAATGGATATATTTGGGAGCAATAATAGTGCAATAACAACGTTGTATCGTTCGATGAGTGTCCCCTAAAGCTTGTTCGACACGCTCGACAATCGTATACCAGAAGCCCCGTTCACCGTTTGCATGCCACGTGTATACCACCTTTCTTCACACACGTAACGCATTTTTAAAATCGTTGCAAAAAAAAAAAAAAAAAAAAGAAAAAAGAAAAGAAAAGAAAAAAAGAATCGCGTCTTTCTTCCGTGTTCTCACGTTCTCTCTGTGTCGTTTCCTGCTCTCTATCGACTCTTACGATTCACTGCT